GGACAGTCCGGAGGGAAAGTCCCTGAAGCTGCCCGATCTGATTGACATGTGCTCACAGGTAGCCTCAGGTATGAGTTATTTGGAGTCCATAAAGTTGGTGCACCGAGACCTGGCGGCCAGGAATATACTGGTGGGCGATAATAACGAGGTAAAAGTGGCTGATTTTGGGTTAGCCCGCATTATTGAGGAGGAGGAGTACGTGGCCCGACAGGGGGCTAAGTTCCCCATTAAGTGGACGGCCCCCGAGGCCGCACTCTTTGGCAAGTTCTCTACAAAGTCTGATATCTGGTCCTATGGGGTCCTGTTGTTTGAAATGATCACTTTTGGTCAGGTCCCCTATCCTGGTAACTATGCTTACAATAACTGTACCTGCATATTTGTTTATTTAAATTAAATTAAGTGTTAAGTTATTTTTTTGTTTAAAGTACTATTAATTTAGTAAAGTAGACATAATGTACCAGTACATTTTTATGTAAACGCATAAACTGCATCAACTCATTATCTACCGTCATATCAGCACCGGTAGTGAGTTATGACGTGAATTCTATGAAATAGTTGTTTATTTCAATCTAATAGTAAAATATAGCATAGATTTACAAATATACTCACTTTTGTAAACAAATAAAACTAATATTTTTGAATTCATTCACCACAGGTATGCAAAATCGAGAAGTCCTGGATCAGGTATCTCAGCACAAATACCGGTTACCCAAACCCATAGGCGTGGAGTGTCCCGACTCTTACTACGATATGATGCTTAAGTGCTGGGATGAAGTGCCCGAAAATAGGCCAACCTTTGAGTACTTATACCACTTCTTCGAGGACTACTTCGTGGCCACTGAGAGACAGTACCACAAAGCAGATGAAAACGAAGAGGACATCGATGACCAATAAATTATCTACTTTTTGATCGCATACTTGTTTCACATCTATTATAATCAAACTCTAATCTCATTGATAAATTAAATTTTATATGATTTATAAATTTTATAAATAGTCACAAAAATTATTTTAATATTTGCTTTTTGTGTAAATTATGAACTAAACAAATAAAATAATTTTACATTTTATCAATTACATATTAACTCATGTATGTGTTACTAATTAATTTTAAATTACTTTTACTTTAACTGGATCAGAATATTTTGCAATACAACTGTTAATTCAATTTAAAAGTTTACTAAATATTATTTCAAATAAGTTTAGACATAATTTTTATTTGAATAAATTTATATTATTTTGTTATGAGAATATAATTGTGCTAGGTACAACAGGTTCATAGTCTCAAAACCATGGGTGCGCCAAAAATTGTTGGTAAATCATCCGGTTATTAGGCTCGGGGTCTAACAGACTGTCTGGTCTGTGACTCCGGTGAACGGTCGGATCAGGTGCTCGACATAATCCCTGTCCCTTCATATTGATAAACGCTTTGGTTTTCGTAGTATTTGGGTTATGGAGTCTGGGGTTGGACTAAATAGCAGTCGACAGACCTAAAACGTAATTTGTATTTGATCATCATAAAATATGGTAGTATAGTCATTATTTACATACTTTTATGGTTTATAGATCTAAAACAAAACTGATTTATCAGTCATACATACAATAAGAGCCAAAATATGACATCGGTTTTAGCGGAAATGACACATTCGGGAGGGAAATACATATAAAAAGATATGTTGTATAACAATATATTGAATAATGTTCATCTCAAGTATTAAATATTATTTAAATATTATTCTAAGCTATGATATGTTTTGTGGACAATAGATAATCAGTATATTAATATACCGTATAATATCAGTATATAAGTGGTGAAACGAATAATGGGTAATAAACTGGGACTGAAATCTAATTCAAAAAACTCGGATAACATAGTGATCGCAATGTATGCCTATCGGGCCGAACATACCGATGACCTGACGTTCAGGAAAGGGGAGAAACTGGAGGTTTTAGAGCGAAGCGATCCCGACTGGTGGACAGTTAGGCGAATTAAGACAGGTGAAATTGGTTATATACCTGCTAATTATGTGGCGAGCATTAATATTGAGTCCGAAGAGTGAGTGTGCTAGCTGATAATATAATAATTTATTTAAAAATGGGATTATTAACATCGTCTAAGTGTATTCAGTAGTACTGTATAAATTTAGTACTGTACTATATTAATTTATTTAAATGTTACCATACGTTTAGTGATAAAATTAATAAACTAAATAACATGGTTGTGCCCTTACAGCTGGTATTATGGATGCATCGGGAAGCGGGAGGCAGAAAACATATTACAATATAGCGATTATCCGGCTGGAACTTTCTTAATCAGATTGAGCAAGTACAATACTCCCAATACCTTAAGTAAGACTCGCGCTCTCTCTCTCTCGCAAAAATAATTCGTAACAAAAACCTAATTCCCAATTATATAACCCCTAAACCTGAACCCCAAGAATCATACGTCCTGTCCGTCCGGAACTCCAAGTCAAATGAAGTGAACGGTCAACACGACGTCAAACACTACCAAATCAAAGAGACCCCGCACTACACCTACTCTATTGGGAAGCGGGAGTTCTCATACGTGCACGAACTCATCCAGTTCTACAGCACACACCCGGGCGGGCTATGCCATACACTGGCCCAGCCCTGCACTAAACGCATGCCCCGCATCCTATCACTGGACCACTCACTGGGCCATAACGACGAGATTGACCGGAAAGACCTGAAAATGATCCGACGATTAGGAAGTGGCACCTTTACCACAGTAACTTATGGCACATTCCTAGGTCAGGACGTGGCTGTCAAACGGCTTAAACCGGGAACTTTGTCACTGAAGGCTTTCCTGGACGAGGCGGTGGTCATGAGGAGGTGCCGACACGACAAACTCGTCAAACTCTATGGCGTCTGTTCCCGGGGACAACCCTTACTCATAGTCACCGAGTTTGTCCGTAAAGGCGCTCTATTGGACTATCTTAGGGACAGTCCGGAGGGAAAGTCCCTGAAGCTGCCCGACCTGATCGACATGTGCGCACAGGTAGCCTCAGGTATGAGTTATTTGGAGTCCATAAAGTTTGTGCACCGAGACCTGACGGCCAGGAATATACTGGTGGGCGATAATAACGAGGTGAAAGTGGCCGATTTTGGGTTAGCCCGCATTATTGAGGAGGAGGAGTACGTGGCCCGAATGGGGGCTAAGTTCCACATTAAGTGGACGGCCCCCGAGGCCGCACTCTTTGGCAAGTTCTCTACAAAGTCTGATATCTGGTCCTATGGGGTGCTGTTGTATGAAATGATCACTTTTGGTCAGGTCCCCTATGCAGGTAACTATGCTAACTGTACAATAACTGTACCTGTATATTTGTCTATTTTAATTAAATATGACTTGTATCAGTATGTTATAGATAGCGTAGACAATTAAATCTAAAGATACTTTTCTTTATGAACATTGTACACAATTTATGAACTCATTATCAACCGTCATATCAGCACCGGTACTGAATACAAAATAATTGTTTTGTTTAATCAATGCAATAGTAAAAATAGCCAATCAATTTGTGTATTATACGAATGATGTAGTAAAATTATATTTATTTTCTACAAAATAAAACTATTATTTTTGTATTCATTTACCACAGGTATGCCACAGTATGAAATCCTGGATCAGGTATCTCAGCACAAGTACCGGTCACCCAAACCCATAGGCGTGGAGTGTCCCGACTCTTACTACGATATGATGCTTAAGTGTTGGGATGAAGTGCCCGAAAATAGGCCTACCTTTGAGTACTTATACCACTTCTTCGAGGACTACTTCGTGGTTACTGAGACACAGTTGAAATCACTTTAACAGTAAAGCTACTGATAGTACCGAAAATGACATGGATGGCCAATAAATAATCTTGATCACATATTTATATTTGTTTCACACTTATTATTAAAGCTTTACTTTCTAGTTAGTTAAAATGAACCTGATAGTGTCTATCATAGTTAAGAAAAAGTGGTCAAATAGTTACTTAAATAGTTATTTATTTTTTATCAAAACGAGGTATATTTTTACTTTTTTGAATTATATTTGAGAAAACACATTAAATAATAGTAAACTAAAAAGCATAATCGCTGATTATTGTATTATTAATCAAAAATTATGTTTAATATTTCAATTATTACCAAA